CATCCATCTATCGCTGCTAAAGTATGCTGATTCTGATTCCAATTATCCCAGTCCGGGTTGCAGGGGCAGCAGTCTGCGCCAAGATGCCTACATCTCCCTCCACCCAGCCACCACCTCTAGTTCTTCCGAGGGAACATCAGCCAGGTAGGACTCACAATCTCTCCAGAATGTCCCAGAGCTGCTCTGGGCACTAATGCTTGGTATTCAGGAGCATCCTAATCAGATACCAGAACTACCTTAACTGACACCTTTCAGTTGAGGGATAACCGTTACTCTGAGTCCCTCCCTGATGACCAAGCTCTGCAGCCTCTCTCTCTCATGGTCTGCAACATTCAACTTGAGGTATATTATAAACTCTGTACAACTTTCAACAAATAAAGGAAATTTGGATGTAAAGATAGATCATGGAAACTAAGAAGCATGAGCGATCTTTCTTGACTAAGTCAACAGCTTAATATGGCAGCTTGTCGGATCTCTCTTCTAAAAGTGCATACCTGTTGACAGGGATGTGCCTCTATAGGTAAAAGAAGGAGTATCCCTACCTTCTCTGTGGGTGTAATCAGGTAAATGGCCTCCAGGCTCGGCAGTGGCTCTCGTCGTTTCATGATGTCCTCCACAACTACAGAAACAGGCACAGACATGTTAAAGAGTCGCAGGTACGAACAAAATAAGCCTCGCAGTTCAAAGAAATAGTTAAATGTGATGGGCTCTTACTGGTGATGCCCTCTGTCATGATGTCTGTCATCTTGCAGCAGGATGACAACATCCTCATGCTCAGCTGGTCCACAATCAGAGCCTGGCAACACACGAAGGCAGGAACTACTTTTTATTACTCTCATTACATGTAGCTGACAATAAAACAGTCTTATTCGAATAATCCCTTACAGACACTGTGCAGTGATGACTCAGGTTTATTCACATGCAGGCTTCAAGGTCTTTTGTGTGTCTTAGTTGTTCTGGCTTATTTGATGTGCACCACTGTGATGAAAAACATTTTCCATTTGCATATTTACGCATCAAGATATATATTGTGTATAGGTTTTGTATCCATTTGATATTTTATTGTCTCCTGACCCAGCATGTTTACTTCTTTGTGATTTTTGTATTATTGTACTTGTGTGAGTTATTCGATGGTTTCTAGTTTCGATCCCTTGCCCTTCATGTTTCTCTATGTGCCCTCTGTTCTGTGTAAGTCTGTGTCTGCATGTTTGAGTTTCCCTCTGTGCCTCTCGGTTCTTAGAGTCCTCTGCCTTATGGTTTATGTCTCTGTGTTTCTTAGTTGCTGTCTCCACCGTGTCAAGTTCGCGTGTCTGTGTTATACTTCCTGTTTTACTTTGAAGGTCCGTGTCTTATGTGAATGCGTCCTGCTTTTCTTGTCTCGTCAGTCCTGATTTCTCCCAGCCGTGCCCTCCTTCTGTGTCTCATTCCCCTCATTACTTCCCAGTGTATTTAAACCTTGTGTTTCTCTGAGTCAGTGTTGTGTCGTCCCTCTTGCTGTGTGGAGCGCCCTGTGAGTTTTGGTTTGTTGTTTCCCAGTTTAGTTTACTTTGTATGCCCGTTTTTCTGTGACCAGCAAATAAAGCTGTGGTTTTGAGTTAATTCCTTGAGTCTGTGAGTCGTGCACTTTGAGTCCTCATCTCCTGCCTGCCACACGGCGTTTCATGACATTTATTATATTTTCTACTGTTGTCTTCTAATCTCTTTGTGGAAAACATCTAAAAAAGAACTATTGAAAATGTAATCTCCTGGAATGGTGAGAATCATTCCTTCCATTGGTCTGCCCAAAAGCCTCTGTTAAATGACTAATAAAGACCGATTCTAGAGACATTCAAATATTTGACTAATAGATTATTTGGCTGGGTATTTCTGCACAGTCTTTACTCAGACACATTTAGCAAATGAGCAACATCTGAAATGGATCCATTTCATCCAATGAGCCAAAATAGTGCAGCTGCTCGAAAAGAACACATTTAGTTGTGTCTCCATCAAGAGTTGACGAAGAGTCTGGAAGGCCTCGTGGTATGGTAAATGCTGCTGCACGTCTTTTAACAGGTGTATGTATAA